AACCCCCTCATTTGTCAGAGGAGGAAAGAGGGCCTCTAGGAAAGTAACTTGCTTAATTCAAACAGGTAGTGACAGGTTCAGGATTAGAACTCTATACTCCTTCCAAGGTACCATGTTTGACATTAGTTCTTAAGCTTACTAACTACCATTGGAATGAATGGATGGCTGCTATAAGTCTTTCTTGACAGATGGGCAGCCTGGCAGAATTATGCCTCTTCAAAGGTGGTGTGACTGTCTAGATTCCAGTTCAGTCTAATAAACATCTGTTGGGTATATTTTTTTGGGCAAAGACTTTGACACAAGGCCTTCCTCATGGCCATGGAGATAATCCTTGGGCTTTGGAAAGTCATGACACTAAAGCACACACTCTACCCAGCCCAGTGGCATGGACAGCTTCATAGTTATCTACCAAAATGGCTACTTCATAGATCTATTTTATTCTAGGGCAAGAGTTCTTTTTTTTTTTTTAAGCAATTGGGGTTAAGTGACTTGCCTAGAGTCACAAAGCTAGTAAGTGTCAAGTGGTTTGGTCTGAGGCTGATTTTGAACTTAGGTCCTCCTGACTTCCGGTGCTCTATCCGCTGCACCACCTAGCTGCTCCTAGGGCAAGAGTTCTTACCTGAAGTCTGAGAAATTGATTAAAGAAATATTTTGATAACAATGACTCATTTCCATTGGTTTTTTTTGTAAATTCTGTGCATATTATTTTATGCATTTAAATATATCATTCTGAGAAGGGGCCCATAGGTTTCCCCAGATCTCCAAAGGGGGCCCATGACATAAAGGTTAAGGTCATCGACCCGGGGTCTCGTAGTGTGTCAGTTATACACTTTGCTAGTATCCCAAAGGCACTGCACCAGCTTTCTTGGTTCAGGTGTATGCCTCTTGGTCAGTCAGTACATTATGTGAGAAGGTGCTTACTATGGAAGAAAATACAATGGCAGCTTTTAAATTTCTATTTTACTCAATTTAACAAATATTTTCTGAGAGCCTGTTATGTGCAGAGCACTCTACTAGCCATTGGAGGAGATGGAGCTTGGAGTAATAGAGGGATATGTCATACCTACAGACTAATGTAAAATGAAAAGTACAGAGAAATTATTTTGTGGAGCTTGGGGGGTGCGGAGGATAGGGAGAGAAAGTGGTTACCATTGGGATAATCATGGAAAGCTATAAGAAGAAGGTGGCATTTGAGTTGCATTTTAAAGATTGGATAGAAATTTAGCAGGCAAAGAGTGAGAAGGTAGACATAGTCCAGACCTTCCATATAGCCTAGGTAGGCAAGTCAAAAAGTGCAAGGAATGTACCTTACATCTATAGAACACTTAGTAAAGTACTTTTCATATATTTTACCATTGGGCCCATCCAGTGACCCATACGAGGTAGGTTGGGCATGTACTTACTATCCCTATTTACAGATTAAGAAACAGGCTCAAAGAGGTCAAATGGCTTGTCCCAGGTATTAGAGCCAAGAGTCAAAACTAGGTCTTTTAATTCCAGAGCTCTTTCTCTTTTACCATGCTATCTCTAGCTAATCAATTCCATAAAATCATGGTTATATAGTAAGTATAATATTCCTCAAAGAATCCACAAACCAGATAATATACACTCAAATAACTTGTTACCTTTTCCCTTGTTATACAGCAACAACCAAGATGTAAGCTGACTATGTTGGATGCCCTAGACCATTGCAGCTGCTTTAGTACTTACAGACTTTTGCAAAAGAGAGAGACTAGTTGGTAATGCTAAAATCAGGAGACCTTTATTATGGCCACATTTTATAACTCAAACAAAGTAAGGAATAAGGTCCAAAATGAGAACCCAGAGACGGGCAGGAGCAATCAAAGATAAAGTCAAGGAGGAAGGAGGGGAACAAGCATTTGTAAAGTGCCTACTACATGACAGGTACTTTTCTAAGCACTTTACAAATATCATCAGATCGTCACAACAGCCCTGGGAGGTAGGTGTTATTATCCTCAATCTGAAATCGAGGAAACTAAGGCCAACAGAGGTTAAGTGACTTGCCCAGCATCACCCAGCTAGTAAGAGGCTGAGGCTAGATTTGAATTTAGCTCTTCCTGACTCCAGGCCCAGAGCTCTATCCACGGTACCACTCAGTCCCTTCAGAACCTGATGTATGAGGATCTTCAGGGCACAGCTCAAGGAAGGAGATCAGAGACAGTTCTGTAAGAGGCTATAGTTTGAATTTGTTTCGTCTCAAGCTTGCATTATTTCTTCCTTTTTGGTGGGTAGGTCACCTAGGTCCCTTCGTCATTTCATGTAACTCATGTGGATGGATGTGGATCATAGGTTTTATATGAAAGGGAGAGTTCTCATTCAGGAAGATTGGATTGACTTCACAGGCAGCGATGGGGTCATTTTTAGTCGTCCTGATCTATATCTGGCCACTGGACCCAGATGGCTCCAGAGGACAAAGTGAGGCTGGTGACTTTGCACAGCCCTCCCTCCCTTAAATCCAATACACTTGAAAGTCATGACACCACCCTCCTGATGTCATGATCCTCTTCTAGAACAAAGGACAAATAACAACATAGTCAGGGAAACACTTGGGATTGGCCAGCGAGGACCAGTTGAGTATAGCTTGGGGCATGGAAGTTAAAGGCATGGGTGCCAACATGCCAACATTTCTCAGGCAGAGACAGGCTGTCTTAAATGAGTCTTATGAATCTGAGAGAGGGCCCCCAAATTAGAAGTCTTTGTGAGTAATCTCAATAGGTGAAAACAACACCTCTACTTTTTCAAAGTACCAACATTTAGGGGTTACATCTAAGTCAGGCAACCAATTTTACTGGAAGAGGATACTGGCCTGGGTCTTAAAGAGGTAAGCCTAAAGAAGTTTAATAACAAAAACAAACAAACAAACAAAAAAAGAGTTAAGCCTAATGGGAAGCTTGGTCTGTCCAATTAATCACTACAAAGCTAGGTAGAATGGTAAGGGTGAATAACAATAACAACAATGACGATAATGATTATTAACAGCTGGCATTTATGTAATGCTACTGTGCTTCAGTTTTGTTTTGTTTTTGATGAGGCAATTGGGGTTAAGTGACTTGCCCAGAGTCACACAGCTAGTAAATGTTATGTGTCTGAGGTCAGATTTGAACTCAGGTCCTTCTGAATCCAGAGCTGGTACTCTATTCACTGCACCACCTAGCTGCCCCTGCTTCACGGTTTTCAAGGGGCTTTACATACATTATCTCATTCATTTCTCACAACAATCCTGAGAGGTAGGCACTATTATTCCTCCCATTTTATAAATAAGGAACCTGAAGCTTTGTGAGGTTAAACAACTTACCTGGGATCAAATAGCTAGCAAGTTTCTGAGGCGAGATTCAAGCCGGTTTTCCTGGCTGTAAGCCTAGTGCTCACGTCCTTCACTGGAGAATCCAAGATAGTTTCAAGGAATCTTGGGCAGCATCAGAGATTGGGGTCAATTTCTGTCAATGCCAGAGTATTCTCTAAAGCAACCATAGTAATTGCTCTGACAACTGTCTTTTAAGCTGAAGGAAATCTGGCTTACCGACTAAGCCTTTCCTCATTTAAAGGGCCCTCCCTAGGCTTTCATGGGATCTTCTCATTTTTAATACTGGTTGCACTTCAGTACCTTCTTTGGATGGATTTGAGATGTTTGGACCAGGGTCTCAGAACTCAGACCCCTGACCTCTTCTTCATCGCTGTTCTAAGGTCTGCGCAAGGGACCTGATACTATAATTTCTCATACTTGCTTTAGATTTAGGAACAGTGTGGTCAGTCCTCTTAAGTTCAACAGGGAAAGCAGCAATTCTCCTCAGTCTACCTGTCTCTGCTTCATTCTACAGACGAGCCAAGGCAAGTCACTTGCCCTGCTCAATCCTGACCTGAAACCACTGATAGGGCAGAGGGAAATAATGGAATGAATTTTGAAATTCAAATTCTGGCTTGGCCACTTACCACCTTTGTGACTGGGAGGCAAGTCACTTTGAAAATCTGGGCCTCAGCTTCCTCATCTTTAAAGTTAGGGAGTTTAATTAGGTCTCATAGGTCCCTAAAACCTAAGTACTGTGAACTACACACACACACACACACACACACACACACACACACACACACACACACACACACACACACACACACAC